ATATGGTGCTTTATTGACGGGTTTGCACAATGAATCCGAACGTAGATATTGATTTCAGTGAAATAGTAGAAAATATCAATGATGAGATTTTAAATTGTATTGTGAAAGAGAATCCAGTGCTATATATGAAGACAATAAAATATTACAAAAATAAGGAACTAAAACTTTATTGGAAAAGTATCGGGGACACGCTTGTCTGTACAGGTTAAGAATTGCTTCTTTAAATTTGGCAAAATAAAAGTTATAGTTAAAAGCAAATATTTTAATTTCAGTGACGTTAGATGATCAAGCAGAAGGGCGTTGGGATACTCTTCGCAATATATTCATCAAGAAATGCAGAAATGTCGATAGGTCAAATTTACTCATCTATTTTCTCTTTTTTTCATTAAAAAGACATTTTTTAATGTTCTTTGATGTTTGAAAAAATATTTATATTTTTAATATTTAGCAAACATTTATTTTAACATTTAGAAAATATCTTGGTAATTATTTAGAAGACAGGCCCATGTTTGATTTCACTGAAACTCACTTATCTTATGTATTTCGATGCTTAGAAGCCGAATCTGGAAGTTAAAATCGTCGCTCGGCTCTACAAACTGAGAAATTAATTGTTAAAAATGCTAGGTATGATAGGTTAGGAAATCTGTTATTGCAACTTAAAGTCTGTTTGTAGAGTTGCCTTTTCTGTGCTAGTGCAGTAAGTACTGCAATATCAAATGACAAGTGGGGGCTGCGCTCCCCGCATCCTCCCTAAAAATTAACCTAACCTAACCTATCGCCATATTACCCGTCAGTCATTATTTATTAAAGTGTCCAACTTTTTTTCTTAAGGTTGTTGTTTCCCAACTGTGGTAGTCAAAATTAGACTTTAAATAAGGGAGCGGTGCACTTGGACACGGTGCATTTGGACACAGCCAATCACAGCACTGTGTGATTAGAGATATTTGTAGGATTCCTTGGAACAGCGACTTGTGATTGGACTGTGTTCAATTGCCCCGTGTCCAACTGATATACACCCTTTAAATAAAAGGTTTAACAACTGATGAATTCTCTTAAGTGAAAATGAAAAACAAATTTTTACATTATTGGTTCTTTTAGAATAGTAAAAATCATAAAATAAATGAAATGATAGAAAAAGAAACAGTATTTCGTTGTAGTCGCGGAATTATAGATCGTGGCAACGTCGCATCTCTATTTACAAAAACAGCTGACCTGGGTACGGAATAAAGTACAAGTTTGTTGTTCTTCTCAAATATTAAATCATACTGATTTTTTGTTGCGAAAAATTTGTTGTTATAATGAACAACCAACTGCGATATAAAGGGCGATTTATTAAAAAGAAAGTGTTAGAGAAAAAGAGAAAGAGCAAAAGAACATCTAACCAAAAAACAAACTGAATAGCACAACCTTTCTTCGGAGAAAAAACAATACCCATGTGAAGGGAATCGTTGTCAACTTGCAACTACTTGGAAAAAATCTGGAATGTACTTGTGAAAAAGTGTTGTCTTTAGAAGATGTTATGGAAGAGAAGAGAATAGAATTACACTCAATACTGCTATATCAAGTGTAATTCTTGCTCGATATTTATAGAAATAGCGATAGGAGATAAACATGGGGTAAACGATGAAACGTTTCGTGAAGGCAAGCATTCACAACGACTTAACGACAAATGCTATATTAGATAAATATTGTTATTTTAATATCTCTCTTGTTTACTAATTATTTCGTGTTATATACCGCAATTCACCATTGTTATAGCCGCTTTTCATGCTGGCCTTTGTTGCATGCAATTAAACAAAATTTTAGCATGTTTGGATGTCCCAACCATTCCCTCAAAAATGTACAAAAGATACGAGCAAGAAATTGGACCCATCATTGAAGAAGCCGCAAAACGTAGTTGTAAAATTTCTGCTTTGGAGGAGAAAAAGCTAGTGCTTGAAAAAATATAAGAATTGCGCAAAGAATTGTAAGACTTCGTAATATTTTTCCAACAATTAGTACTTTTTTTATAGCGTGATTAACATGAGACAGGGAAGCCAGTTTTTCCGAGGAACCCTTCAGCGGCCCCTGGAGTGGGGATGGTTTCAATTCGTATGTGTTCTTCGGCTTTCTTAGGATAGTAGAAAGAGAGAGGAAATAATATATAATATTATTTCTATTTTATCTTTTTCTAATAGGCCTGAAGAAATTCGAAATAAGTTTGTGGGTGAAATGTTTGTATTCGAAGAAGTTACAACATTAGATACAGACAACAATAATAATAACACAAAACAATTTAATAGGATTTTGGGTAATATTGTCAACATCATCGTATCTTTTGACATGGGTTGGAGTAAACGAGGAAACGGTAAAAGTTATGATAGCCTGAACGGGTATAGTACGATCATTGGTTTTTTTTACAGGAAAACTAGACTATCGTATCCGAAACAGGAAATGTTACATGTGCGATTTGGGTCATTCAAAAAATGACCACGACTGTAGGAAAAACTTCCAAGGCAGTGCAAAAGCAATGGAGATGTTGGACTAGAAATTATAAATCGCAGTGTTATACTCAAAAAAGTTGGACTTAATGTTAAGGTTTTCGTAGGCAATGAGGATAGTACGACTATGGCTGCTGTTAACCGCGATAACTTAAAAAATAATATAAAAAGAAGTGTGCATAAGTTGGCTAATCATGTAAAAAAAATCTTATAAAAAAAGTGTATAATATCAAACCTAAGCTCAAGGAGTTGAATAAGAAAGGCATTATATCGCACTTAAAAAAATGTTTTTCATACATGTTTCGTAAATTTTTCTCAATGCAAGCAAAATGCTATTAAATTACACAGGTCCACAAAAAAAAAAGTTGTGTGTGCTGGGAGTGCCACTATATTTTTTCCATGTATTTTTTCCCGCTGAACACGAATCTGAAGTCAGAATTGGGGATCAATGGGCAAATTGTTTAGAAAATCCATAAAAACGATAAAAATCGTGATCCAATAATTTTTTAAATATGATACTCATATCCTTATATTGTTCGTCATTTCCGGCTACGTTTGTCTTCAAAAGATCTATGTAATGGATTTCTGCTTCGCTTTTTTCCTTTTTTGTTTGTTTCTCTTTGTAACATCCAGCAGTAATCTGCAAACATGTTTACACCCCTTGTCCCTGAAATCTTCGTTCAAATTCTTTCAAGTCTTGGTGAAATCTTTCTCCTTGCTCTTCACTAAAATCTCCGTTGTTTTCTGGAAATTTATCTAGATGTGAATCAAGAAAGTGCAACTTTAAATTCATTAGACAACCCAAATTTTGGAAGTTTTCTATCATTTTTGCTACAATGGTTCTGTAATTGACGGCTTTAGTATTACCCAAAAATTTCGTGCACACTTCTTTGAAACTTATCCACGATGCCTTTTCTTGATCAGTCATCGTTAAAACAAATTCCTCATCTTTGAATAACTTCCGGATTTCAGGTCCATCGAAGATTCCTTCTTTTAGCTTTGCATCAGATTTGTGATTAAATACTGTACGCAAATGTGTAAAGGATTTTCCTTCTTTATCAAGAGCTTTCACAAATTGTTTAAGGGGGTCATCCCGTGTGACGGCTTCAAAAAATCGATTTTTTTTTTGCATAAATCTAATCTAGAGCATGCATAGAATATACTGGCAAAGTAATTTTCCAAAATTCGAAGTCATTGAAAAGTTACAGCAGTGAGAAGGTAAGGTGTTTTAAGCACGCAGCTGAGCGCTCGGCAGGGCGGGGAACAAGAGCTATTGTATACCTTCGGATTCTTATCTGAAGCCGATTCTATTCACACGCACGTATACGCACACATATTTAGAAGGGCGCTGCTGTCCTGAAACTCAAATGGAATGTAACGGTTGCTTAGTTTTGGCTTCGCAGTCAGCGGCGTAACAGCTCTTGAGTCGTCGTAAGCAGTAATATTGTACCGTGCAAGTGCTTCAAGTTTGCGATGAGTGACAGGAAAGGAACAAAAGAAACTCACGCTCATGCTGAGAAAAAAGAAGAGAAAATTTCAAGGAAACCGTTATTCGTTGGAAAATGATCTGGATTATACGTCGGCATCAGCGAAGAAACTGCTTGGAAGCATGAACCTGGAAGTGCCTGTTGCTTCGAACTTTGCGTACTGTATCTTAGAATTTGCATCTGTATTTTCGGCAATTTCAGCAAATGTTATATGCAAAGAGTGTAAAAGTGACGTGACCTTTAGTCAGACGACTTTACGAGGCTTGGGTTTTAAAATTCTTATGTCGTGTAAGTGCAGTACAGATAAAACGATAAACTCGGGCCCAATGATTCAAAATGCTTTTGAAATTAATCGGCGCTTCGTTTTTGCGATGCGGTTGTTAGGTGTTGGCCACGAAGGAGCGAATCTTTTCTGCAGTTTATTGGACATTTGTCAAGGTATAGGAAACTCGACATATACCGCGCTTTTGGAAAATATTCACACAGCCGCATCTGCAGTGTATGAGTCCGTTCTATCCTTTGCTGCTACACAAGAAAAAAATATGAATGAAGAAGCTGGGAAGCCGCAAATTGAATTAACAGTTTCCGGAGATGGAACTTGGAAAAAACGCGGCTTTTCATCTCTATTTGGAGTATCGACGTTAATTGGAAAGTATTCTGGGAAAGTGATAGATGCGATGGTTATGAGTAGTTTTTGTGGTGCTTGTAATCTGTGGAAAAAGTTAAAAAATACTGAACCAGAGAAATACGAGACATGGTATGCAGATCATGAATCTGAGTGTTCAATAAATCACACAGGAAGTTCCGGTAAAATGGAAATTGATGCCATTGTCGCAATGTTTTTACGCTCGATCGAAAAACACGGCGTGAAATATTTGACGTATGTCGGCGACGGTGACAGCAAGACATTCAATGGGATTTTACAAGCTGAGCCTTATGGTAATGACTCTCTTGTTATTAAAAAAGAGTGTGTTGGGCATGTTGAGAAACGGATAGGAACACGACTCCGAAATGCTAAAAAGAATAATAAAGGTATTGGTGGCAAAGGTCAGGGCAAGCTAACGGACAAGCTAATTATTGAAATGACAAAATTTTATGGCTTAGCCATTCGTCGCCATCCCGATTCATTAGAAGAAATGAAGAAAGAAGTTTGGGCCACATTCTACCACAAATGCTCTACCGATGAAAATCCTCAGCACCAGAACTGTCCAGCAGGCGAAGGTAGCTGGTGTAAATGGCGGCAGGCTGAAGCTAAGAGCACGATCGACCAATTCCACCACGAGAAGGCCCCATTATCCAAGGAAGTACAAGCAGTAGTTAAATCTATCTATGAAGATTTATCCAAGGACGATCTTTTGACCCGATGTTTAGGAGCAGAGACGCAGAATAATAATGAGTCGTTAAATTCACTCATTTGGACGTTCGCTCCGAAACATCTACATTCAGGCGCTCAGATAGTTCAGATTGCAACTTTTTTGGCCGTCGTCATCTTTAATGAAGGCTTCCAAGGCATTATTAAGATAATGCATACGATGGGCTGTTCAATTGGACGATCAACGCACGCTTATGTAGAGCGCCGCGACGAAGCCCGGATCAGCCGTTCCGAGCAGCGCATGAGCGACGCGGCAAGAGAGGCTAGAATTTCATCCAGGGAGGAGCAGTCGGCCTTACGAAATTTGCAAGAAGAAGAGAAAGGGATACTCTATGCACCAGGAATAGCAGATTAGTGGTAAGCAAAAATTTCATGGTGTAATTCACACGTGAACTTTCAAACGCGTTTTTCTCAAAACTGGATTTTTTTAACTGGTGTCCATGATTTTTCGAAAACGGTTCAATGGATTTAAATAAAATTTTAATGGTAGATTCAGCACATGTGTGGCTATCGTGTGAACTAGAATTTTTAAAAAATATTGAACCGTTTTCTGTCCGCATAAAAAATAGTCGCAAAAAATCATGCTATTTTGAGTTATAATTTTTAAAAGCATGCGAAAAATTGAATTTTTAATATTTTCAGAAAATCCTAGTTCCCACGATAGCCATTCACCTATAGATTAAAATGCAATTTGATTTTTTTATTTCAGATAAACCAGTCTGCCGGAATCGTGGACACCGTTTGTCTGCTTTTTTTTTTACATGGGTGCCATTCCAGTGATGTAACTCGCCATCGACGCCATATTTTTAAATAAAAAAATTTACACATATAGTTTAAGATGTAATAAATATATAGTAAAAATTTGGAAGCTCTGTATTTTTTCATTTCGCCGCAAAAAAATGCAAAAAAACCTTAAAAAAAACGGTCGTCACACGGGATGACCCCCTTAAATAAACCAAGCTTTATATGAAGAGGAGGAATGAGAATTTTTGATGGATCGACAAGCGGTTTTCTTATTATATTATGTGATCCAATTTCAAAAGAAGATCTCGAAGGCCACACTTTCTTTTTGTAATTATTTTTTCAATCCCTACTGTCAAACATACACAAATAACATGGATACTTTGTAAATCCAGATTGCTGCCGGAGTATCATTGACAAAATTTTCAAATCACCACATACTTGTCATTTATGTTCTTCATATTTTATTTTTTTCAGGAGGGTTTCAAGGTTAAAATATTCTTTGAGTACAGTTGAGTGGCCTAAAGGTAAAGAAGCAAACTTATTGGTGTTGTGGAGAAGAATTGCCTTAAGGCTTTGTTGTGATGAATCAATGAATAACCTCCATTCCTCAGGTTTATATAAATTTGGCTTTAATTCATCGACAAGTCCTTTAACATCTGTACAATAAAGTAAATTTTTATCTTTTTCAAAATATTGACGGAAAGCTTCTTCTCGGTTTCGATCAAATGAAACCTTAGTACCTTTCGTTAAAAGGTTCCTCTTCTTCATATCTGAAGCCAGTAGTTCAGCAACTTCTTTCGATAGTTTAGCTTTTCTGAATAGATCGTTTAAATGTTTTTGATCGTACTTCTGAGGCATCCGTTCTTTGCCAACAGGAATGTATTCTTCTTCACTGTCAGAAGACTCTTCTTGCTCAATTTCATCATCATCTTCTTCATCAATAAGGTTTAGATTTTCTGGATCCACATCGACTTGCATAGCGTCTGATTCACTTACAAGACTGTCTTGTGACTCATCATCTTCTAAGCCTCCTATTACTCTCATCACTGCTTGTTGGACGCTTGATACAGAAGCAGAAACAATTTTATTTTTGTGAATCTGTTGCATGCCTCCTACATCTGTCATACAAAAATAGCAATCACTTGAATCGAGTGGTTTTTTCCATATTGCTGGAGTTTTAAATTTGAGCTTGTTTTTATCTTGATGCTTTTGAAACCAGTCGATCATATTGTAACACGAACCACATAGAACATTAGGAATCCAATTTTTGAGATGTAGGGAGACTTTCATATCAAAGCACTTTTCATATAAAGTCACGAGTCGATTTGTGATTCGCTTGGCATTTTTTTTTTCCTATGTATTTTGCACAAACGTAACAAAAGACATTTGGATCTCCAGAACATTCGTGACCGTCACAAGTATTAGAAGTTCCTGCAAAGTATTGAGTAGAAAAATCATCGCAATCCATAAAGATAAGATAAACTCCGCACGCTAGAATTCCTGGCCCGATCGCAGGTAAGTCCGCCGTCCTAGGGGTGATAACCCTCATACCTCCTCAGGCCTAAGTATGAGAGCTTTCTGACTTTGACGAGGACAACGTCAACTCGTCGTCGGACACATTATCATATCATCCTCATATTCTAGCGCTTCCCTGCAAAACAGCGAGCCTTCGCTGGCTTCGATACCATGAAATGTTGAACGAATCATTCTACACATCCCATTAAAGGGCAGTTGTCATCGCAGTCTAAACACTCCGTGGTAGCAGGTTTCTGATGGTACTTGTACCAATCGTGTAAAAAAAAAAAAAAACAATATTGTTTTACCTATTTGTGGCCAAGAAAAAGGCACCATGTAAACTAATATGTTTGCAAAGTACTGTTGGATCTTACAAAGTATTATTCAAAGAAAATTACTATTATATTTAAAAAATCACTGGATTACGATTTTGATCGTTTTTATGGATTTTCTCAAAAATTTGCCGATTGACTCCCAATTCTGACTTCAGATTCGTGTTCAGCGGGAAAAAATATAGTGGGACCCGCAGCACACACAACTTTTTTTTTTGTGAACCTGTGTTATTAACAGCTGTTAGATGTATACCCGATTATTTATATAATTTACATGAAAACTGTGGAGCATGGTGTAAGAGTAAATCAAATCAGAAAACTGGAGTTAGCTCACACAAATTTATTATTAAGGATGAAAATCTACACAAAGAATTGAAAACTATATTTTCCATGTATGCTGATAATGCTTCTAAGTACTCTGTTCCTCGAACGGGTTTTTAAATAGTATTATTTCTCATCAGCTTCTTAAAAATAAGAACTATAGTACAAGTAATTCTGCAGATTTTCGAGTAGCATCTGCTATTTTATTAAAAAACAAAGGAAACGCTTATTTGCTTGATGTAAAAAATAGACTTGGATTTTCTGTTAGTAATAATATTGAAGTTTATCGTACAAAAATAGATAAGCTTAGGTTTCATAGATTTGTAAAATCAAAAGCAATTAAGGCAAAGACACGTAAACTGCAATTAACTACGAATAAATTTGAGAAAAGCATTAGAGAGTAAAGAAGGAATTACCTATAAAGATAATATTTTTTTTGAAATAAATAATAGTAGCACAAATACTGTCATTCCTACGGTTGAATTGACATCCTTGTCAATTAATAATTGTAAGATAATTTGTTTCGACTTCGAAACTTCTAGTCGACGAAAAAGTGCAGATATATTGCAGATTGCAGCGAAAGCAGATGAACACATTTTTTCTATTTACATCGAGCCTATTCAGCCTGTAGAAAAAAAGGTTACTGAAATAAATGGATTAGAAAATATATGTGGAAAGCTATATTTACGAAGAAAAAAACTAACAACAATGACTATGCACGATGCATTGTAAGCCTTTTAAAAATGATTTTTTAAAAATGTTTTCTACTGGTTGTTTACTAATTGTTCATAATGCATCGTTTGATGTATCATACTTGATTCGAAAGATTAAACATTATTTAAGTGTTGAATTTCAAGCAATCATTTACGGATTTTGGAATAGTCTAAAATTGTTAAAAACAAAATTTCCTGGTCGGAAAGGTAAAGGAATGCTAACTTTTTCTAAATTAGCAGAAGATTTCTTGACAGATGATCTATCCAGAGAAAACTTTCATGAAGCTTTATATGATGTTATTATTTTAGAAAAATTAATAAATTCACTTTTAACAAGTGATGATTTGTTTCTAAGTGCAACATTATTTGCTACAGCAATAAATAAATCAATATGTGGTAATAATATAAGCTTGAAAGTAAGATCTTTTTCAGCAATGAAAGGTAATGTTACAAATTATATGATAAAAAAGCTTGCATTATTAGACATTACTTACGAAAAAATGCTTCAAATGTACCAAACTACAGGAGAACAATCAGTAATTTTCTTTTTGACAGAACTTCCTAACGAAAAATCACATGTTACGGATAATAAAATTATTTTGAATAAAATAATTGATCACTTAAAAGTGGTATTTTTTTGTCAAGAAAATTCTAATAAATAAAAAATATGCATTGTTTTCCTAATTGTAAGCAAATAAAATGTTTTATATTGTGACCATGATTCTCGTGGCGAGGAAAACGTGGCCAAACTTCGTCCCCGCTAAGGCGGCGACGGCCGAATCCGCCGGCAGCTCTCAAAAAAATTTAACTAGGTGGCGTGGTTCTTAATTCGAAGGTACGGATCCTCTTCGCGCGTCACGTGAGGAGGAGGCAGAAGAATCAGGGGACAAAGAAATAATTTACAACATGCTTCGTAACACTCAACGCTCTATTTAACGAAAGAACAATGCGGGGTTCCGAGTCTCGAAGTTCGCGGAATCGTCGGCAGCCGTAGTCGAGAATCCGTCTACCTCGCAAGGCTTCTCACGATACAAGGTTAATTCGGCTACATCGTCCCTTTAAGACCTCATACATAATAGTGGGCATCAGCCGGGCGTATCCCGGCCTTAATTAACATACTGCAATCGCTCGAGGGACGACAAGCCTCGACGTGAGAGCCGATTTCTAGCACTCCGCCTCGCGACGGCGGCAGAAGTTGCGAGTGCCACGAGCAGACGGCACATGCTTTTCCGACGTTCGTCGGGATTGGTTCACGCGGTATTTCTTTCGTCCTCGGATGCCCGCAACTCGCGAATTACACTCGCGTAATTCTTATAACAATTGACGCCATTCGCTCGCAGGACTGTGCGATCGCGAGACGCGATAATTGAGCGGCAGGCAAAGCGGGAAGGATGGTCGCTATTTCGTGAAACCCGTTGGCTTTCGCCCGCGGTGGCAATCACGCCTTACAATTCGAGATGCGACAAGTAACTTTTTCGATTGCCGTTGGGAAGCGACGGCAGCCGTGCCGATCTCAAGTTCCGACTTAGGCTGAATGTCACTGGCCTCTGGTCTGATCACCAAGATCCCGCGCCGTGCTCGCACCCTCAATACCCTGCCCCGTCTGGCTCGTCGTTAGCTCCCGGTCCGCCGTCGCTCGTCTTTTGTCCTCAGATAATCTGTCGCACTCGAAAGAAAATGTAAGACACACAATGGGTGCGTTCAGTTTCCACGCATAATGCGCATGAAGC